CATATAATATTATTGAAAATTAATAAGCGTGACACAATTACTTTATTAGTATATATATTTTTCTATATTTATTGATATTATACAATATAACAATATTTAGACTTCGCTCCTTATAGACATGCCAGACAGTGAATCTAACATGTCATTTGATCAATAAACTATTGTCACTTAGAACACTGAAAGCCTAGTTAATCAGAGCCCCAACTATGACTGTACATATCACATCTTTATGCCAGTATCATTATAATTGTTATGATTACTGGCAGTAATTTTCTTCCTGAATGAACAAAAGGAGCAGCTTACAAATGAGTAACAATGCAAAAGCAAGTCACAGAGCGTGAAAACATGAGTCTCTTGGTGGAAATGATCTTGGATCCCGCCAAACCATTATAGTGATAATCAGTACTTATACAGAACTGCTAACGTGGCAGAGAGAAGCCAAGCGTTTTGTACTATCAGGCTGCCCCGCTAGGGTAAACAACATGTACTGTACATTGAATTCAATCAGGATGCCCATAGTCTGCAGATTGTAATATCACATAAATAAAATATATATATATTGATATATGTGTATATATACAGGTGAAACTCGAATAATTAGAATATCGTGCAAAAGTAATGGCAGTAATTTCTGCAAAAGGGGCCCAAACCAAGTACTGAGTACATATGCATGCTTGTACTTTTCAGAGGTCCGATATTGTTCTATGTACAATCCTTGTTTTATTGATTGCATGTAATATTCTCATTTTCTGAGATTGTGGATTTGGGGTTCTTGGGGTTTTCATGAGCTGTAAGCCATAATCATCACAATTATGACAAATCACGGCTTGAATTATCTTGCTTTGCATGTAATGAGTCTATCTCATATATTAGTTTCACCTTTTAAGTTGCATTAGTGAAATAAATGAACTTTGCACGATATTCTAATTAATTGAGTTTCACCTGTATACACACACATATGTTGCATATGACAATTACTTATAAATGGCACATACTGCAATATGTTTTATTTCGAAACTCTGAAACCAGTCCTCATGGACTACTGACTGAGAGCTTTCAGGTGAAGTTTTCAGGTGAAGCAGAACACTTGGGGGTTACAACTGGAGCAAAGTAATGTTGATTTAGACTTTAAAGGGTATATTTATAAAGCAGCTAATCTGACATTCACCATACATTCGCTGCAGGCGAATCTTTCCAGTGCATGTGTTTTATGACTGACTGATTAGCCACCAGTGAATGTTTTGTGAAAGTCCCATTCACAGCTCCATAAATATGCCCCTTGTTTTATATCACAATCAATCAGTTTTATTGTTTCCCGATTGGTTGCTATCAATGTCGGCTCCACATTTGCCCCTGGATCGTCTGCTACTTTTGTGTAAGCCCAACTGTTCCTGTAAACTGTGCAAATGAATGCAAATGTGCTCATACCTGGAAGTTTTAGAATAGGAGCTGTCCTTGGTTCCCCAGAATGGGAAAGGTTTCCTTAAAATACATCTGTCCAATTAGGGACTCACCTTCTGCTGCAGAAGCTAGTACCTGGACTGCCTATAGTATTTCTGAGTCATAGACCCAGAGCAAGCATGCAGCGAGTAAAAATCAGAGAGAAGTCAGAACTGCTTATCCCTGATCTCTCGGTCAGCAACCAAGAAATGACTCAAGCCCAAACATCCTTGTGACAGTCAGGCAGCTAGCAATTTCAGAAGAAGAAGTCTGCAATGGGAGGCTCACCTTAGCACCTCAACCCCTGCAACCTCTGCTGCAAAAAAAACTATGAATGCACCCCATAACCCACATTTGGTACACCAGAAGCATGCAAGCATGTCCAATTTCTAATATGCTATAAACAACAATGTAACAATTAGATAAATATTGCACCATTCAGAAAACTAGCAATAAATGTAAATAAATGGAGAATTCCAAGTTATAAAAAAATACTCAGATTTTACATTGCAGTATATTATATATATATATATATTTTTTGTGCACTGTTGCACATACAGTACAGGTTTAAATGTTATATATATATATATATTGTTACATTTTTTTTTGTATATAATATATTGCAACTTAGCAAGTCCAATATCTTTAATGCACTGCTGCAAATAAATGGTGTAAAAGAAATAAAATGCATTATTACTTGTTGCCTTGTTCATCCTCCTCCAGGTTCCAGTCCAGAAGAAGCTCCTTGTCATTATTCTCTTGGATGCAGGGTGATCTCAGGGTAGTGAGGACAACCATGCTTGCTGCGATGTGACTAGTTTAGAGGCATCAGTTGATGTGCAGCCCTCTATCCAAGCTCTGTCAGATTTAAGAAAAAAAAAAATCTCATGCAGCCAGCAAAATAGGGCGCTGACGGATTCTGGTTGGTTGGAAATAAGTCACATTATCAACTTAGATTGCATGAGTTCCTGCATATTAACAGAAGCCACCTTATAGATAAGGGAAACAGACATTGGTATCTTGTTGCTTAGCAACAAGCTGGATAGGAACACAGGATGGAGACAACAAAATAGTGGAGAGATGTACATCGTGATCATGCACAGCCAGAGACAATGAAAGCAGAAAGGGATCAGAAAAGCCGGTCACGATAAAATGTAACGGCTTGACGGTTTGTGGCAAAATATTGGGCGGCGTGCCACAATGGTTGGCGGCGGATGGGGTGCTGTGATATAATAGGATAATGTCTATCAGAAATGTGAAACCTTTGGTTCCCAAAGGGTTTGTGGATATAGACAATGGCTTGCAGCTAGGTGGTTAATAACGCACAGTTTATACAACATAGACTTGGTTCTGTTTTGTGCAGCTTACGCTCAGTTTGTTGGTATATACAGATGTGGACTCATTTGTTGGTACCCTTATAGCTCATTAACACCATGCTTAATTTCTCCTGAAATGTGATGACATTAAAAATACCGACATGCCTTTGGTACATCATAGAGTAAAGCAAAAGTGTGAAAAGAGATAAATTATTGATTATTCTACAAATATATTCTAAAATATCCCGGACAGATTTGTTGGTCTCTCGAAATGATTATAGAAAATGGTATAGTAGTGATATTTCACACTGTTTTCTGTAATAAGTACCACACACCTCTTGTGATCAGTCAGTCTATTTAAATGGAGAAAAGTCGTCACTCTGATGTTTGGCATCATTGTGTGCACCACACTGAACATGAACCAGAGAACGCAAAAGAGAGAAATGTCTGAAAAATTTAGAAATAAAATCATAGACCAGCATGTCAAAGGTAAAGTTCTAAGACCATCTCCGAGAAGCAGATTAGAGCTGCAAATATTATTAAGAAGTTTAAAGGGGATGTAAACCGTCCCGTTTTTTTGCCTATATCTACTGCTATCAAGCAGTAGATATAGGCAAACAGTTAAAAAAAAAAACCCGCTTTAACAGCGGTTTAAACTTGCCTTGTTTCGGCTGCGCGCTCCCGTCCGAGAAAACGAATCTGTTCGGGCGGCCGCAAAGCATTTTGGGGCGGGCGCATCCGCAGTTCGGATTCTCGGCCGGGAGACGAGCAGAGACACAAGGTAAGTCTATGGACGCGTGCACCCGCATGCAGACATCGTGGGATCAGAAGTGCTTGCAAGCAGACAGGAATCAGCGCTGGATCGGAGAGCCACCGCACCGCTGGAGGGACAGATGAAAACATCAGGAAAGAAGAAGAAGATCGGATTAAGAGACATCATTTAAGGTAAGTGCTGACATTAACATTGGGGGGAGGGAAAAATTATTATCCTTTAATGTCACTTTAAGGTCCATGGGAGTGTAGCCAACATCCCTGGATGTGGCAACAAGAGGCAAATTAACCTCAGATTGAGCAGAAGGATAGTGCGAATAGTAGACAAAGCGTCAAGAAAACATTTAAAGAGATACCATCTGACCTCCAAGGTTAAGGTACATCAGTGTCTCATTGCACCATCCATTTCTGGGGGACAGTGGGCTTTAAAGGAAGAAGACGTAAAAAAGGAAAAAACATTAAACAGCCAGAATGGAATTTCCTAAAATGCATAATGACAAGCCACAATGCTTCTGGGAGAATGTCCTTTGGACAGACAAGACTGATTTTTTTTGGGGGCAAGTTACATCAGCAATATGTTCAAATAATGAATCTTTCAAAGAGAAGAACACCGTACATACTGTAAAACATGGAGGAGCCTAGGTTATGATTTGTGGCTGTTTTGCTGTGTCTGGCATGGGGTGTCTTGAATCTGTGCAGTTTTGGTGACATGACGTTCCAATAAACAAACTTTTTGGACAGCAATACTGGTTGTGTGCTGGTGACATTCATTCATCTTTATGCTGTGTGGCGGCGCCATCCGCAGGTCACTACAAGCACCCACCCCCCTCATTTAACTTTGGGTTTTTCCGGTAAGGAGTGCGACAAAGTATCTTTTTGTTTGAATCTGTGCAGGGCTCAATGAAATTTCCAGACTATCAGGGCTTGTTCACACCAAGTGCGGAGCAGATGCAGAGCAAAGCAATTACAGAACACATAAAAAATGCATCCAATGCATTGCAATGGTATTTTGGGCTCTAGTTCACACCACAGCGTTCAGTTCCAGAGCATGTGGACAAAATGCAGCATGCCCTCCTTTTCTGCTCTGGAACGCACCAAAACGCATGTAAACGCATCAAAAACGCGTGCAAACGCACTGAAAGCCCATTTTAGGCTATTAAAAAAAAACCACTGCATTGCATGTGCAGAAGCTAAGCAGATCTGGTCGCGATTTGGTGTGAACAAGCCCTCAAGGAAATCTGGAGAGAAACATACTGTCCAGTGCCAGAAAACTCAGTCTGCAAGTCGTGGGCCCTCCAGCAGGATAATGCCCCAAAACACTCAGCTAAAAGCACCCAAGAATCGCTAAGAACAAAACATTGGACTATCCTGAAGTGGCTTTCTGTCAGCCCTGGTCAGAATCCTATTAAACATCAATGGGAAGAGCTGACACATGCAGCCTGGAGAAGACACCCTTCAAACCTGAGACAGCTGGAGCAATTTGCTCAAGAAGAGTGGACAAAGTGCAGAAGTCTAAAGCTGGGCACACACCTTACAACCATTGCAAGACTTTTGTCTTGCGATGGTTGTAAGGTAATTAAAAAAACGTGCGATCTGCCCATCTTGGACAGGCAGATCGTACTTGCGATGATCGCAAGCCCGCCCCGCTGAGGCCGCGCTTTAGCACTGCAATGCTAAACGGGCAGTGTGCGCTTGTGCACACCGGCCCGTGCGGCTTTTATCTTGCGAACATGCCACACACCCGCCGCCAATTGTACGATTCTCGGCGGGTTTTCGAACATGTTCATAAGATAAAAGTCGTGCGACCTTACAGTAGGAGAAGTCGCATGCCTTCCACACACCTTGCGATAATGGTACGATCGCGGGATTTCCCGCGATTATCGTACGATTATCGCAAGGTGTGTGGGCACCTTAAAGGTGCCCATACACCTTACAATTATCTGCAGATTTTCTGTGGTCAGATGGAATAAGTGCAAGGGATTCCTCCATCTACACTAAACTGTGTGGATGGAGGTGGAATCTCCCACTGGGCCAAGCTTCAGTATCTTGCTAGTCGGCCCCGCTGGCTGTCAAAATACCTGAACAATCTGATTGGATGCAGGCATTGTTCAGGTGTTTTGAGAGCCCGCGGGGCCGACCAGCAAGATTACGGAAGCTTGGTCCAGGTGGAGATTACTCCATCCACACAGTTTAGCGTAGATGGAGGAATCTGTTGTGTGCGTGAAATTGCAAAAACCTATACCTAAAATTGCCCATAGGCGATGCTTTAAAAGCTTTTACCGCTCATCAATTTAGTGTTAGCAGTGATTGATGGCCCTAGAATTATTTCTCACACTCGACATTTGCATTGATATGTAACATGTGTAGCACAATTCTCGCGTAGGTGCACCTGGCACTTGTTTGCGTTTGTATGTGCATGCACGTGGGGGACTTTAAAAAAAATTTACATATGTGTCTTTAAACTTAAAATTTTTACACTTAAAACTTTATTGCTGTCACATAGGGGGTTAATAAGGTCCTCTTTATGGAGACATCAGGGGTCTATTAGACCCCTAATGTCACCTAGGAACCCCAAAGAAGCAGAGATCTGCTTCATTAGCTTCTTCTCTGTCTACAGCAGTCGGACAAATGACAGGCTGAAATGTAATACACATCACTTCCACATTCAGAGATCGGAGGGGAGATCAGCCAGTGGAATGTGCTGATCTCCCCTCTGATCCAGCCACAGTGACCTGCCATGCAGGACAGCGGAGCCCAGGATAGCCAGCGGCAGAGGGAGGGGGCGCACACTTCCTGTGCCCCTCCCTCACCCTCCCTGCACCATACAAGTGATCGGGCGGCTCTATAGCTGCCCGAACGCTTGTATTTTTCAAGGGATTCCGTTTGTTGACCTTTCCCGCTCCCAATCGTGCGCAAGCAGTAGTGGTAAAGGATGTTTACGAACGCCCATCTGCAGTTTTGCGGCAGTCGACCGGCCATTTACAATCGGCTGGACGGCAAATGGTTAAGAAGGTGGACTTTGCTCCAAGAAACATGCAGTATTTATGGTAATGTATATTAAGGGTATTATAATAGACATTGTTTTTCTGTGAATTTGAGAAATGCTTTTAGCTTTTGCTATCGAGAGTTGTAGTTACTGCATGCCATGTACGACCCCAACTTTTACACTATGTTTAGACTTTATAGTATTTAGGCATATAGCATGCTGTTTCTCTTTTTTCATAACATAAACACTTGGGGTTCTATTTATGAACAATTTGCAGAGCCCTTCACTCTGTTAATCTCTGTAAACATTAGTTCTGTGCAAATACATGCAAAAACGAACGTTCATGGTAAATTTTGTTTATAAGTAGATTTAATGTAATTTCCAATGTTATAATGTAATACAGCATTATGGCCACTAGAGCTGAGGAGCATAGTATATAAGTATTTATACTAGTAGCCATAATGCGTTATTACAGTTGAAATGACATTTAACTTGTAAAGAAAATATACTGAGAATGTTCCTTTTTGCCTCTATACACACAAAACAAACATTCACAAAGCTTCGCAGGGCAAATGGCTCTGCAAATTGTTCATAAATAGACCTCCAGGTAGTCATAGCTTTGATAAGTTTCTTCTGGAAGAGGCACTTGATATAGGTGACACCGTTTTGGCTTTGGAATCAAACCTATATGTGCCAAACCTTATACGATCAGTACAAATTGGCTACATGTGAGCAATTCTAGGTTGGTTACTATTTAGCAGAACGTGTCAGCTATAGAGGCATCTGTTAGCATTGTGGTATGTGAGTTTTCTAGGCAACA